AGTAAGCATAGATAGTGCCACCAGTGGGACCTATGGATATCTGAAGGGAAGAGCGTGAACCATGGCGGTGATCAAGAGAAGAAGTGGAGTAAGTTAAAGAAGAACCGCTACTGCGGATTTGAATAGGTGGTTGAGGATCAGTGGACGGCTGTCTTAGCTGAAGGTTTACAGAAGTGTAAGACCGACCACAAACTGACACTGTGCCATCACTTGAAGGAGGCCCAGGAATATGGTGAGCGCCATGTGGAAGTACAGGGGTTAAATATATAGATGAGACATGTCTCGGACCTGGGGGGGGTCGACTGACACTGCTGCTGTTGCTGCTGCTGGGGTCTACGCAGTTGCTTGTGGTGGTGGTGATCGTCGTTGTGGTTGTTGTAATGGGGGTAGAAAGTGAGTCAATGGTATTGTTGAGTGGGGGAGTTGGGGAATGATGTGCACTATCATTTAGTCTTTCAAAATGTTGTTCAAGATTATGTACATTATAAAAGAGTCCTCTTCTCCCATCGAACTGGGTTTCTGCACTTCTGCGTCGCTCTGGCAGGACTGGGTGATTTTCATATGCACTGAATGGATCATATGAATTAGGCACAACTGGCGCAGAGTTAGGTAAAACAGGTGTGCTGGAACGTGACTTGGATGCTTCACGAGAGGAGTACGGGGTGTCTGGCCCACTGCCACTTCCACCTCCTACCAGGTGTCTTGAAGGCGGACCAGCTGCCCCTCGGAAACCATTAGAGACAGAGGGATGCCACCCATAGCCAGCTGGACTATTGACTGGCGGCTGGAAAAAAACAGGGCTGGTTGCAATGGTAGTTGTATTGGGCGAGGTGTAGACTGGGCCTGGTCCTGCTACCATTCCTGGTCCATAGCTGTACAGCAGGTAGCCACTGGTCTGTAGGGGACCAAACACATGGTGGGTGGCATTCGTGTGGGGTAACAGTGGAGTGACAGCTGTGCTGCTGGTGATGACAGGTGTTGTAGGTGTTGATGGGATGCCTGTCCGGATGGGAGAGGTGACTCTGGAGGCCGAAGGTGAGGAGAGGGAACTGCCAGGGCGTCCCCATGGGCCATAGTATCCACCATGGTGGATGTGCGTCTTCTGCGACAATTCTTCCTCACAACGCTCGCGATCCAAACCATACTGCAACCAAAGAATAACATGGGCTTGTTAAATTTTTCAATAAATTAGAGATGAAGTTAATACAATAATAGTTCAAGCTGAATGTATAGGTCATATCAGTCAATGTAAAAACATCAGGAAAACATATAATGTAAGTGTTAATCAACCAGAAATACTATGTTAGAAATGATATTGGTAGATATGCTATATCTTTGGGGTAAAATATTAATCATATTATTGCTATTGGTCTGGCCCACTCAGTAATGCCAATTGCAAGGACATTGTTAAAAAGATAATCAGATATCAAAAATGTAAAAACGTAATTCTGAGTTGTGACTTTAAGAGCAAAAAAACACTAAACTATGAAGCACCTAAGTCTCCACAGCAACATGTCTGATAAAATGAATCAGACTTTCCAGGGCAGCAGTTTGAACACATCCATAGGCACAAAATAAAGATCAAATAGAGTTTTAACCCATCAAAACTTGTATAAGAGGAAAACATAGTCACAACACAAGAATGAACCTTCACAGCTCACTCTAGATCCCTCTTCTTGCACCTCTCACCTCTCCCACATTCACTGCCTTTTCTCTCTTTATCTTTCCCTAATTCCACACACTGCAATACCCTCTTGTTTCTTCTTGTTTATGGAAGCACATCTGCCACACCATTCCCTGCTATCAACCCTTTATAATCTTATACACCCTATAACCCAACTCCTTCTATATAACATTCTTTTACTATTTTCCTAACTATATTTCTAAATACCATAACCTACCCTCATTCTGGTTCACTATCACAATATCTATTTTGCCTTAGCTTCTCCTCTGCTGCCTCATCATTCTGCCAATTCCCTCTTATATTACTTTCTTTCTTTCTCCTTTCTTTCCTTCATCTACTACTCATCTTTCCTTTCCCCTTGTCTCTTCCTGTACATGTTCCTTTTATCCTGATCCCCTCATCTGGCACCCCCATTTCCCCCAGATCAGCCAAACATTTTTGTCTATCAAGTATCCTTTTCTGTACTACTATACTCTTTATTTCACTTCCTTGTGCTCTACTGATCAACTTACACGAATTTATGAATAACTGTAACTGTATTAAAGTGCTGACAAAGGGAAATCATAATGACAGGCAAATATGTATCTGAAATTAGTGTGAAAGACATACCAGGCAATACCTTGGAATAATAATGGCAAATACATGCTAAACTGGTTTCAGGTTCCAATAAAACCATCTTGCCTGCTTATACAATATATTTCTTCTAACCCCCAACCCTCTATTTGTATCATCTTCACAACCTCACTTCCACAACAAATTTTCTGCTTTCACACCTCACCCTTCCCACCTCCTCTTCATTCTCTCCCTCCCTCTGCATCTCTCATTCCCTCTTACCTAATTCACCTTCCAGCAGAAAATCTCACAACCTTTCTCCCCCTTCCATGCCCCCATACTCCCACTCCCCCAACTCTACCCACCCCAAAGCCCCATCCCACACCCCCACCCCCGCACACACCTCACCTTCATGGCGGACTTTATGACTAAGCTTGCAACACTTACTCCTCCCACCTCCTCCTGTGGCGCCGCTCCATACATGACCTCACCCCTATGAGCTTGACCTTGTGTGTGCGAGATCTTAACCAGACAAACTGATCTAAAAAGGCATAACCTTATGTTACCCACTCTGTGTTTCCCAGAATAGCATTCTATCAAACTTTGATCAATCAAAGTCATGTGTCTAAAAAAAAAGAGGAGGCATCTTATGATGGCAAGTTGTTCTGTGTATAATGAGCGTAAAAAAACTAGGTGATTTTTTTTAATGAACTAAAATGACAACTTGAAAATACCAAGTGAGAATAAACCACTTCCTCCTTGATCTATCAACCAAGCTGTCTCATATATAATTTGCTGAACTATAAATTCAGGTAAACACGCCTGCAGTTGGGGAAGGATGCCGATTTTCTATTTGCTCTCACACATCAACACATTTACTTAAGTAGACACACAAGAGAGGGACCACATTTACCAAGAAAGGTGGCAGGGAGGTTTTTTTGGCTTCACACACCCACATGGACACTGACTTATTACATATACACACTAACTGGTACACAACTCACGCACTGGGTAGCAAGTCTGAAGAACACACAACAAACATTCTGAAACACACTTTCACATCTTTGAGTGTGAGAACCCCTCTCTGCCACTACAACATAGCATAGAGACATGACTGCTTCTACTCTCTTTTACACATGCATGCAGGCAACCCTTCCCACATATTCACACACATGCAAATACACACACACACACACACACACACACACACACACACACACACACACACACACACACACACACACACACAACCACACACCACACACACACACACACACACACACAAACACACTACACACACATCACACACACACTCACACAGCACACACTCACACACCAAACAAACAACAACATCACACACACACACAAGAAACACCCACGAGCACACACACACACACACACACATCACTCACACCTCGCAGCAACATGGCATCACAATCGCAGATCCACTCAAGTCAAGACGAATCACGAGACACTGACGCAGCGATGCACTCACGGAGAGATCGAACAGATCACGACGAGATCGAGATCAGCATGCTCACGATGCACTGGCTCTAGAGAGAGAGAGAGAGAGACGAGATCTGAGAGAGCAGATGCGACAGATCTCTGATGCAACTCACTACGATGCATCTCAGAGTAACACGTCTCAATCAAACTGAGAAACAGCATCACTCTCAAACTCTCAAGCTCTCATCTCAGAGACGCACTCTCACTCCTGCGACACTCACTCACAGAGAGCACTGCACAGACTCACACTCAAACACAACGACACACACAAACACACACACAACAGCACAGCAAAGCACACGAGCAAGCACAAAGCACGAGAGCGCGCAGACGACAACGACAGAGCGAGAGACGAAAAACACAACGACAACAAAGCAAAACGCAGAACAGCAACGCAAGAGACAGAAACACAAGAGAAGCCAGAGAGAGAGACGAGCACGAAAGAGCAGAAGAGAGAGAACACGCAGCAAGAAACACGAACACAAGACGAAACACAAACGAAGCAAAGAGAAAGAAGAAAGAGACAAAGGAGAAAGAGAAAGAAGAAAGAGATAGAGAAAGAGAAAGAGAAGAATGAACAAACACACGACCAACAACCAACACATCACATTTATCATCGCTCATGCAATGCACATATATACCTGATACAGAATCGCAATCAGCATAACCCTCATACTCAACGTCATAATACACCCCATCACACTGATACTAGCACTCTACACGTAGCCTGCTATCTCAAGAGTAAAGAGCAAGCATGGAATACGAGCACGCGAAGCGCACGCGATACCAGTAAACATAAGCGCCAATACAGCCATACACACATACACACACACACAACAGTCACACACACACACTTCACCACACGACACTCACACTCCACACTCACAACTCACAGTCACGACACTAGCACGACATAACTCTACACTATACACACTCACAACTCCACACTTCACACCACTCAACATCACACTCACAGTCTCAACTCACACACACACACACACACAATACACCACACGACACACACACACACTGTTACACACCCCACGCAAATCTCTCGGCTGACACACACACAGAACCTACGCGTTAGAGACACATACTTACGACGCACGAGAGCATACACACAAACAACATCACCACACACAACACACGCAAAAATAATTGCATATTCATTATTATCGGCAGTCACGAGCAACACTCTGAGGAATTGATGACCAATACACACACTCATTCATCCTCACTCACATGACTATTACCTATCCTGCACAATTCACATAATTAATCCCAATTAACCCTATTCTATATACACTACACATTGATCATTATTATTATCTATTCATTAAATTTAAATAATTATCAATATATTCGCTTTACTATCAGCGAATCATCATCTATTCATTATTATTATTACTATATTTTATATCCTGATACTTCACCTCTCACTCTCTCCACCCTATCATATTATCATAATTATCAATGCAGCACTATACAGCGCCAGTCGCAGTCTGTCTTCATCACACTACATACACACCACACATCCTATTATTATCACAATCACATGACACTATACACTACCACACACACACGACTTCCACACTCACACTCACACTCTCCACTTCACACTCTATACATCTCCACTATCTCCACTACTCAACTCACACTCACACTCCACACACTACGACAGACTTCAACACACTCACTATCACCCATTCCACATCGCACCACCTCACATTCAGCACACACACACTTCAACACTACTACACCACACCACACATAGCACACAAAAGACTACAACACACAAAACACACAACACCCTACACCGACAATCACATATATTTACTGATTATCAAACCTCACACAGCACACACACACACAACACACCACACACCACACACTTGGCCCACATATCAACACATCACCCTCCACACAGCCACAACTCACAACACACATGTCAAATATTGCACACACACAAACTCACAACACACGTACTCACACCATCACCAAATACCTCACACAACAAACCACACTACATGTAATTCCTCACACATCACTCACACACAATATCACGTATTTATTTCACAAACCACGCCACGCCCACCTTCTGTTATTGTCTATCTGTGGACCGTGTTTGCTTCTTAAGAGTCCGGGACAACTTCTGCTTAGGAGAGAAAAGTGTCAAGAACGAGAGCATGGCAAAAAGTGTGATGGGATGTTACAGCGTGTTCGAGACAGGAGAGTTGCCTGGAGCTCCCGAACCATGACAGCTGCTTCCAAGATGAAAGAAGAGTCTCCGACACTCTCGCCTTGCGTCGTTCTCGGACCTCATCTTCTCTCCTCCTCGCAGTCCATCCTTGCGACTAACGCGGCAAGATGAGGCGACGCAGCACGGCCAGGTCAGGAGATAAACACCAAGTAACAGAGGAAGAATACGGTCAGCTGGCGGACGTGAATTCGACTGATAGCGATGCTTCCTCTTCACGCTCTTTCTGCACTCTGCTCTTACCATTATCCCTTGTTCATATCACGATACAATACATCATATACCGCTACACACTCACCTCACCATCTTGCAGGACTAGAGCGAAACGGCAGAGTACACGCAGATAATATGATTCACTTAATTCTAACGCTGCACTCAGGACATTGCTCGCCTCCGCTGGGTCAAGGGTCACTAACTTGCTTATAATGGTTGAAATGCGACACGAATCTCGAGAGCACCGTGATACCGACAAGAACTCAGCGCCGGACATCCAGATAGAAGGCGAACACTCCATTACGCAGTCGCATTGACATACAGGAAGAGAAGGGAAAGAGAGGGAGAATGAAGTAATCGTCTCCGATTTGACTCTTCCTGGCCTTTGGGTTATAACTTATTATATATATAAACGAAATGCGTATTTTTTCTCAAGCCTTAACACTATAATGAAACGAGGTACATTATCCTAAGCTTCATAAAAGAAGAGAGCGAAAACAGACAGAAATAAGTATATGAAAAGAAACGTGGAGAGATAAAGATAAAGCAATATTGACTCACCTGTGCGTTTTCAGTAGGAGGGGAGAAAAATCAAAACAGATACAGAAAGTTATATGAATAAACAAGAAGACACTATCAAGAGGAAGAAGATAAAACAGATACGCAGAGATACCATGACGCACAGCAGTGCTAGAACAAACAACATAAAAAAAATTTAAAGAGAATGTAAACACATCACAAGCCGAAAATAAGTAACAACAGAACTTAGAACGATTTTTAATATTTAAGTATAATTAGTATCATAACTTAATACTACACCATCCATCTCAAAGATCATGGGAGTCGACATGCTCAGAAGTTCCACCTTTATATATCTGCATTTGAGCTAGGTTTATCATATCATAGTTATGATAATAAAATATGCACGCCATATACTGACACGTTAAGAATTGAGGCACTGACAGAAATGAAATTAGGATGAAGAGGAGATAAACAATAATCTCTATACCATAGCACACATCTATTACTCGAGAGAGAGTCATCGAGAACGTTTTTCTGCTGCGTTAGAGAGTTTTTCTCTAATAGTTTTCTCTGGGACCGTCGTTCTTATCACTGATCCTACTATACTAGGGTTCATAAAAAACAAAAGCGAAGAAGTTCGATCTATACTATCGCGATTTTTCGTGACACACCGATAGTTAGATGTCATACTCGGCATCCCAAAACAATACACCTTTAAGAAAACTCAACCTTTTTTCTAATGCTACTTTATCTTTTCAGTGCCTTTAAATATTTCTTATAATATTCATGAATTTCCTCCTCTCCTCGTCCTCTCGCTCTCCTCTCCTCTCCCTCTCCTGCTCCTCTCCTCTCCTTCTTCCTCTCCTCTCCCTCCTTCTCCTCATCTCTCTCTCCTATCCGCGTCTCTGCTCACTCACGACTCTTTCATCTACCAATCTCATCCTGTCTCGTACAACGTCACTCCTCTCTCCTCGGTCTATAATCACCTCTCTCAAGCTATACTCTCGGCTCTCCTCGCTGCAATTTGGCACACCTTCTTTCTCACCCTCATCTTCTCCTTCTCGCAGTCCTCTCCTCTCAACCGCTCTCTCTCTCCTCTTCTCCCTCTCGCCCATTCACTCTCTCCTCTTCCCTCCTC